TTTAATGTTTGTTGTGAGTCGCCCAGAGTTCCCCCATTGGGGGGAGATGGGCGGTTGAAAAGTTTAATAAATAAATAAATAAGATGACCTTGACAGAGATATACAGGAACTGCTACCTAGGCAAAAGGGGCTAAAATATTTTTAAAGTCCAGAACAGTGAGATAACATTTGGAAGTGGATCAGGCAGACACTTCCCTGATTCACTGAAGTACAAGAAGGGGGAGGAAGTCCAGCACAGTCAGATATGGAAGGTTCTGTTCTTATAGCTAATTGCAATAAAAGTAATTTTAGCCTTCCTGTGGAGTTGATTCCTGGTCTGGTCTACCTAATGGGGATGGCAGTTTCCTAGCAAAAATCAAACAGTGACCATTTTAGACCCCCTCTGCCCACCCCCAAACAATGTTTCCCTCATTGTGTTTGCTAATCCATCTTACCTGTATTCATCATAACTCTTCATGTTGAGTTTCTGAAGGATGACTTGGGACAACCCAGGAACATTACTTTCCATCGCTTGGAAACCCAATGAGTCCATTTTCGGCCCGGTGAGAACTGGAGCCTCTGTTGAATTGCTCCTAGAGTGTCCACTTTTGGAAGCCCGTTTTTTGTTCCGGTGAGACATCTTTAGCAGAAGTGGGAGGATCTAGACTGGGATCCACCTATCAAAAGGGGAAGTGATCAACATCATCTCCAACCTTCTCCTTGAGAGGTGGTTGGTCTTACATTAGGCATCTATTAATGAAATAAATCTGTTGGGTTAGCATGACGTTACAGAATGACCAGAATGTTTCATTAGACTAGAAGAGACTTGCATGTGGGGCATCTTAGGAAGAGGTGGGATGTGCATGTAGTAAATAAATAAAGTGCTCAGCAGGGAAAGTAAAATGTTCTAGACAAGCTTTCATTTTGCCTAAGATTCACATCTTACCTTCCACTGGACCTAGGGCAGAAATGTCTTGTTGGGGCAGATTATTTGAGCATTTTTACCCTCCATTCTATTTTTACTCTATAGCTTCTCTCATTTTACAGACTGTGATAGGAAGATCTCCCCATAGACTAGATTACAGTGATCAGTTTCCTCTTCTCCCATCATTGTTTTATGTCCTGGCTATGTTCCCTGAATGTACTGTTTCCTCCTTCCTCCTTGTCTCATTCCTTTGTCCCTATTAAACAACAATCTAGTCTTTTTTAATCAACTATCAGAGAGTGGGAGATATGCACATCTCCCACTCTCTCTGATCAATATGAGCTTTCTTCCCTTCAAGCTGGAGTCATCCAGGTGTTCTCAGCTCTCAAAGGCTGTGCTCATGCAGCACGTTGACCACCCCCTTGCTTCCCACTCCAGAGCAGTGATTTATATTGTCTTCTAAAATCATCTAACCATCCCCGTGCCAGAATAATAGTCATGAGGACTGGCTGAATATTACGCCAGCCAAAGCTGTATGACATCATGGAGACACTGTGAGCCACTAATGAGGAACTGATCTGAGCCAAATGTTCTAAGCAAACCACATTATGGTTTAGTGTGTTATGCAAACTCTGTATCATTATGATTTATTCAGTAAAACAAGGATAAGACGGAAGAGTGATCAACTTGACCATTTTTTCTTGGATATTAAATTCAAATGCGGTTTTTCTCCTGGGCCCACTTCCTTCTTTGTCCTGGTCCACTTTTCTGAGGGTGGCTTCAAATGCAACCCTCAGCTCAAGGTAGCCTAATTTGATGCCTCAATGGAAACTCTTCCCTCCCCTGCTTTCAGATTGCTCCGACACAGCACGTATATTTGCAGCTACAGGGAACTTCTTCCATTTTTCTCCCAGCTTACAGCCTTCATCATCTCTCTTGCCTCTGCACCTGCTCCCTTAAATCAATCCTTTATGTGAGAGACGATGGGTGTAGGATAAGGTCTGTGGCGGGCTGTCAGCCAGAAAAAGCTTAGACCCCAGCACAACAAACCTTCATTTGATAGCGTGATTGTCCAAGCAACTCTCTTGCCAAAGATCTGTCAGCTTGTTTTGCAAGTCACTCTCAGTTGACAGCCCCAACCTGACTCAGAATTGAGGCTGGCCATAGAATTCATACTGGGGCCTGAATTCAATTCTGGGATATGCAACTCAATTCATAAGATATTTCTAATAAGAAGCAGTTTCTCCATGGAGGAGAAACTGTTTCTTATTAGAAGGAGGAAGACAAGGAGGAAGGAGGAAAACTGGAGTGCTAGTCCCTCATTAAACAGGAGAAATGCATTTGAGCAAACAAGACAACAGATCAACCAGAATGCCACATTCTTATGGCAGGCATGGCCAATTTGTGGGGACCAGGATGTGTTGAAGATGTGTCACTTGGACAGTACGGGGCAGAAATATCTGATTTCTCCTTCCCCAAGTTTCCAGGGCAGACTATACAAAAAATAGATTGGTTAAGCCTTCCAGAAGTTTAATATACCATTTTAGATCTTTGTTGGTCTTTCAAAAGGGAGGGAGTAGCATTTTGCCCCTGAACGTTGGTTGTGTTGTTCAGAAGCCACGAAGACATGGCTTGAAGGAATTGACAAGTTGCTCCCCCCTTCTTCAATGTACCTGCGAAGAGTGGAAAATTGCATTTGGTAGCAAATCCCTATCTGTCATCGAGGCTCACACTTAATGTGTATCTTCTTTTACAGTCATGAAACCCCTTAAGCACTTCACCAATAGCCCAACACAGAAGACAAACCACCCTCAAAATCTCTCTTGCTTTAGCTGCAGTGGGTATAATAAGGCAGACGGCAATGACAAGAAGTTTGTTTTTAGCATATGGGGGGGGGGAGGGAACACTTCGCTTTATTAAAGAACCAGTGGAATTTCAGGAGAGACATACCCAGGCAATTCACAGGCTTAACACTGGCTTTAAGATACGCTACCCAGCAGAAGTGATCAGAATGCAAAAGATTGCTTTCTGTCAACAGAGAGTAGGGGGAGAAACTAGGACTGTCTAATAGGTAGGCTTGTTAGTGGGGCAATATGCCTGGAACGCATCTGTTTATCCCATGCACAGAGTGAAATTCCTTCAATTAATATCCAATTAGCCATGGCCGAGTGATGGGCAGGGATGTTCCTTCACCGAGCTCAGCTGCAGGCATTTTTTCTAAGCCTCCTTCCAGCTGCAGGAAGTCCTCAACAAGTGATATCCCATCTGATGTGTGACACTTCCAGACTCGGTATATTTTTAGACTTCTTCAGATGATTAGAACTAAAGTCAATCAGAGAAAGCTACTCCCCTCTCCAATTTCAGATCTTCAGCTATGCCAGGATGGCTGGTTTTCAGATCGCTTGCTTGGATTCTCTTGCTGTTAAGGGGTTATGAGGCAGGGATTGGCTGCGTAGTACCTCTGGAGGCCAGAATGTCTGTTACCCCCCACCCCACACATTCAAATACAGTTCCCCATGAAATTCAAACAACGTTTTGAAAAAATGAGATGGGCAAATTTCTTAAGAGGTTCTGCAGAAGAACACTGACATCTTGCGCAAGATTGGAACACTGTTGGCCTCTTAAAATGTCAAGAGATCTGGAGTGGGACCAGATTCCTGAGTGATGCCGCCTAGGGTCCGAAAAAGATGCGGTGCCCGTGGGATATTTGCACTTTTCAGGCTCATGGTGTGAAGCTTTTTACTTAAAATAATATGCAGAACAAAATGCTCAGTGAAGTTGCTGAATGCCTTCAGGTGGTGGGGGAAAAAAAAAAACCTTTCAGGAAATATTGAAAGGTAATGCTGAAAGCATTCTGTAAATTCCACCTATTATGGTTAATTCAGGAGAAATGAAGAAAAACAGATAGGTTTTTAAAAAAAAGACTTGAAAAGGTGAATTAAAAGCTGTCAAATGGTTGAGAAAGCTACAGTAGCTGTCCCAGCAGATAAGATTTCTACAGCTTTGGATTTCGAGCTTGGAGCAAAGAGGAGTAAGAGGAGATAGGATCAGTGTTTATAAAATCATGCATGGGATGGTAAAAGTGAAAAGTGACTTTTTTTTCCCTTGCTCTTTCACAGTATTAGAACTTGGGGTCTTCTATTAAAATTAAATTCAGGGAGATTCGGGGCCTAATAAAGAGAAGGATTTCTTTATCATATGCATAATTATACTTTGGAATTTGCTATCATCAAAGAGCACTGATTTAAGCAATTTTTAAAAGAGGTCTGGACAGAAGCAAGAGCTATCAGGGCCTACAGACATCACCTGAACTTTAGGAAGCCAGAAGGTTGGGCAACCACAACAGAAGAGGGTATCTGGTTGATCCCTGTGGGACACTGAAAGCTGAATTAAAGAGGTTCAGAGCTCTCCTTAAATTCTTATGTTTGATTAATTATGTGCCATCAAATTGGTGTTGACTTTTAGTGCCAACATAGATCTGCCCCCCCATCTGGTCCTTCAGGTCTTCCAATGGTGCCCCATCACTGCTGTAATCCACCTTATTGTTAGTCATCCTCTTCTTCTCTTTCCTTCCACCTTTCCCAGCATTATAGACTTCTCCAGAGAGTTGGGTCTTTGCATAGTATGTCCAAAGTAGATAATTAGAGGCTGGTCATTTGTGTCTCAAGTGAGAACTCTGGGTTGACTTGTTTGGTGATCCATTTGATTGTTTTCTTGGCTATTCATGGTCCTCTCAGGAGTCTTCTCCAACACCAAAGTTCAAAAGTATCAATACTGCTTCTATCCTACTTCTTCAAAAATTCTTAGGTTTCACTTGGGCAAAAATGAGAGGAGTTCAGGTTTGCAGAAGAGGGATGGGAGCCATATTCAACTGAATATGAACTGAAGATGTTACCTAAGTGGGTAACAAAACATCTGCAAGAAAACAACCAACTCAGAGAACCCCAAACTCAGAGAACCCCAAGGACTCCACAGTTCAACCCTGAGCTACATATATTCTTTTCTATTGGTGCCATATTCAACTGCCAGGAACCGAGATGGTTAAAAAAAAGCCAAACTCTGCCAACATGGTTGAGATAGCGATGCTATTCCAGTCCTGTGCCTCCCGCAGATCAGCCAATCAGCCTGGATGAGTTGATTGGAGGTGGGGAACAGAGCCAGGGAAAAAGAAATAGACTCAAAGAACACAACTTCTGGAGGTCTTCCAAGCTCATCTTCCATCAGAATGTCCTCTGTCTCTTGCTCACCTCTACACTACAGTGAAGATATAGCATCTGTTCTAAGACTGAGCTTGCACAGACGTATCTGCTCTATTCACTACATGCACCAACCCAGGATTAAGGGACCATAGTTTACAGTATGAACAATAAACCAACCCTATGGGTTGGGCTCACACAATGCATGGAGTAACAGAGAAGCCAACCACATCGCAAGCTGTCCCACTGCGCACCTCCAAACATTCCAGTTCATGTTTACAAAACGATGCGAGCCTTTGCGAAGTCTCTGCAAAATGTGTGGCACATAACAGAATAAACACATAAATAGACATCTATCTTTCTTTTTTTAAAAAGAAGGCAGCAATTCACCCAGGAGAAAAACCAGAATCTGTCCCCGATGAACACTTTCTCAACAAAAAAAAAAAGG